GACACATTTTTCTTTTTTAATCTGTTTTTATCCCATTTTGAATATATTGGGGGGGGTTGAGCAGCTTTACATCCTGCTCTTCCATATTGCATTCCAGGAGCTGGAGTTGCTACAGCAGAATTTCCCTGGGAAAGAGGAGCTCCATTAAGTGGCTGGTTTCAGGATGAGGTCTGCCCTCTGGAGTATGTTTTGGATCCCTGATGAAAGCACAGAATTTTTCCCTGCCAAGCCTGGGTTACACTCACTGCGTCAGTGCAGACTCACTTGCATGATGCTGGCTGGGTTTGCAGAATCAGTTTTTTTTTCTAAAATGAATGCCAGGCACTGTGTTTGCTGCTGCCTTCCCTTTGCATGCCTGAATGGCTTTGGTCTCTCCCACTGCTTCTTGGGGCTAAAACTTAACAAACCTACTCAAAAGTAGTTTTTTTCCAAGGTCTGTTTATACTTTATCATGGAACTAAAGGCTGGATGAGGTTGGATGTCATCTGGTCCAGCCCTATGACTCAGGTAGGGCTATCTAGAACCTCCTGCCCATGGTCAAGTCCAGACACCTTTTAGATATCTCCAAGGATGGAGATACTGACAGGGGTGGGGCATCATGGGCAACTCCTTCATGCTGGGCTGAGGAGATACTGACCTGACACACGAGGAGTATTTATTAAAACATTCCATTTAAGACAAGGTTTTTATTATGAAATGTGACCTCAAGCTTCACCCAAATGCACAAATAACAGCCATGTTTTCAAATCCTCCCTGTGAGGATCAAGGTGCTCCAGGCAGTAGGACAGCCAAGGGACTGTGGTGACAATGTCTTTCTTAGGTGTCGTCTCACTAGAAGAATCCATTTCTGCCTGTGTGCCATGATGGTTAAATTAACTGCTAAGCCCTGGCTTTAGTGTGTGGTGTGTATTGTCGGGGTGATGTGCATCTGGAGCACTCAGGCTCTTGGTGTGTTCCTAGGGGTGTCCTGTGCATGACCAGGAGTTGGTCCTTGTGGGTTATTTCCAGGTCATAGTGTCATCAGGTGCTTGGTTTGTGTACTCCTCCCCAGCCTGGCTTCCAAAGCTCATGGGCAGATGGGTCCATGGTTTTCATTGTCCCTTATTCCCTGTGTGGATGCTGAGAGGACTCAGACTCCTGTGTCAGCACCATCTAATGTATGCGATCCATGCCATGCCCAGGACACCCTTCTGGACTGGATGCCTGTACACATTCTGGCAGGGGTAATGTGAGTCGTCTGATGAAATTGCATCCAAGAATAATCTCTTTTGAGATTTATCTGTGGTTTTTCCATATTTGATTTTGCCCTTCATTATGAAGTTACCCTAAATAACATTTTCAGATGGTTTTGCTTACAGGTGGATAGAGGAGAGGCTCTCTTCCTGCCAAAGGATTGCACAAAAAAATGAGCCCTTAGGTACATATAAAGCAAGGAAACTTGAGTAAAATCTCATATGTCAGTCCTTTTCCCTAGTGCATCCTGATGGATCCAGGTGGCCCATATGAGGTATTACTACCTTAAGCTGCTGCTCATGACTGAGTGAGGTTAAAAAGTGATGGGCTGGCATATTGAAATTTCACATCTCAACGTTCAGTCAATTTCTAAGTAATGCATTTGGTTCCTCCTTTTCAAATACAATTATTTTAAAGAATATTTTATGGTGTAAAGAGAAAACAAATACTTCATTTTTCCTCTGAGTGACTTTAATGATGATCTGCTTGGGTCTAGAATGCAGTTTAAAGGTGCTTTTGGCTCCTTTGAAGAAAAGTGTCATCTTGATATAAATCAGGAATATTATTTTATAAGGACTGTTAGCAGCTTACATGAGTCAATTTGTGGCAGCCTTATGAAGAAAAGCAAAATACTTCAAATGAAATTCACATGTCTCCAGAAATGGGTTCATCAGAGGGGAGGCATCAAGAAAAATGTTGACAGATATTTAATTATAATGGCAGTAGTGGCTGTTGCTGTGTTAATAGCATCTGGCAGCAGAGTCACTGCCATCTGTTAGTGCCCTGAAATCCTGGAGATGGTGCATCCTTTATGGAGGAATTAACAATAATTAACAAATCTATCACATGAAATCACCTTGATTGGATGACACCCTTACCTTGATAATGATTAATTGCAAAATATGTGCAATAAAATAAAATGTCCACTATTTTCCCTTTTTGCTACTGCTGCTCTACAATTGCAGCGTCCTGGGGGATTTTCTTTCAAGTCTGTGGTGTGAGGCAGCATTTACTGCATTTAGTGTAAATAATCCTTACAAGCAAAGCTAGATTAAAACCAAACTCCTGCATATTCATTTTGATTTGCCTTAGATTACGTCTCTAAAACCAGTTGTGGTTCTTTTGGTGCATAGTAACTAATGTTAAATAAGGGAGAAAATGAGGTTGGACTGCAAGAAGTGACCCTTCAGCCAAAGTCAAGTCAGTCTGAAGAACAATCTGACTGCATTAAAGCATTTCAAGGTGATTTTGTTAACTTAGTATTAGAAGCCAAGCCATTAATTTCTGATGAGTCAATTTGTCTTCAAAGTGATGAGAAAAAAATGTTCTATTTGTTTGCATTTAGAAGAATTATTTTTAAATATCTATTTTTATTGAAACCAATATTTCGATCAATGCAATGAAATATCTCTTCCATAAGTAAGAGCTATAAACAAAGCAGTGAGCCAATTTGAGACCTGGTTGGGTTTTATTTTTCTCTTAACTCTTCCTTTTCTGTCTGTTCCTGCTGAGCAACAGATGGGGAAGGTAACGTACTCTTTGCTTCAATAGGAGAATTGTAATAGATACTTGAGACGTGGTAATTACCAGGAGCAATAGGAGGGAAAGAGTAAACTCTGAAATCTTGAAGTCAACTAAAAAGGAATTTTAATTCTCTTTTCCTATGTGTGTCAGCTGATATTCTGGATATTGTTCTGGGACCCACCGTGAGAAGGCAACATATACTTTTCTTCTGTCTATTTGTTCCTAAGTGCCAGAAGTTCTTTTAGGCTTGGATTTGGGCTGATTCCAGCTCCTGATAGAGCTACAGTGACACCAAACAATGAGCAGAGGTGTGGAAAGCTGAGTTTGTACTACCTTAATTTAGCACAGCTCCCAACACAGGAGCTGTAGATCAGTCTTCCCTTCCCCTTCCTGTCCCATGGAGTAGATCTGAGGATAAAGGCTCCCCTGGTGCAGGAGGCTGGGGTTTAGCTGATTTATGGCTTTGTTGTCTTCTCCATGAGACCCATCCCTCTCACTTTGTTTTGCTTTGATAGCCATGTGAGTCAGGCATGAGCTCATGGGTTGTGTGTCTGTGTACACATGTGTTCATCACACACAACATGTACATACCTGTCACACCCTCCTAGCACTGTTAAAATTAGAAGATGCTTTGAAAAAAGTGATTTTGCTTTTTGTTCTGCTGCTTTGACGTGATATCACGGGATCCTGAGGAGGCAGTGGCTGGTGGGGTGTAGCAAATACAGACACCCTTGTTATATCTTAGAAGAAAGGCTTGTTTCTCTCTCACTGCTATTTTCATGCAAGGCACTGTTCCCTGGTTAGGAGGATTAGAAGATATGCATTAAACAGTGTTAAATATGCTGAGGCATTTGGTGTTTACAGCCCTTGTAGAATTATTCATGAAAATATTACCTGCTAGACAGCCTTTTTTTTTTTTTTTATTCAGTGATTTAGTAGCCCTTTCCAAAATCTTGTTGTGTTATTCATAGACTAAATAAGGCTAAATAAAACCACCAAAATTACCCACAAAAATACTGATTCTTGGGTTTATGTTTCTTAAATTGCCATGGGTGTGACATGCCTAAGAAATACAAAGGGATTTGTGGAGCGGGTAAGCTCTAAGATTTGACTCAGACCTGTCCCATCTGCATCAACAGCTTTCCCTAACACATGGCATTGGGAAGATCTGGAAGGGACTTTATCCCTCTGAAGGATTTTGGACATAATAGATATATGTGTGCTCTAAGTTTGGGTTACAGAAGTTCATGATGAGGAGATATTATCAAGCAGTGCTGGCTTTCAACTCTCTCTTTCCCAGTTGCTCCAAGCTCTGTCCAACCTGGCCTTGAACACTACCAGTGATGGGGCAGCCACAGCTTCTTTGGGCAGCCTGTGCCAGGGCCTTCCCACCCTCACAGGGGACAATTCCTTCCCAGTATCCCATCTAACCCTGTCCTCTGGCAGCAGCCATTCCCCCATGTCTGTTCCCTGCAGGCCCTTGTCCCAAGTCCCTCTGCAGCTCTCTTGGAGCCCCTTTAGGCACTGAAAGGGGTGCTGAGGTCTTCCCAGAGCCTTCTCCAGGTGAACACTCCCAGTTCTCCCAGGCTGGCTCCAGAGCAGAGGGGCTCCAGCCCTTGGAGCATCTCTGTGGCCTTCTCTGGACTCTCTCCAGCAGCCCGACATCCTTATTTTGGGGATCTCCAGAGCTGATTTGCTTCCTTGAGCCCCTTGTGCCCAATTTTACAGCTGAGCACATCATGTCTGCCCTTGCTGCTCTTCACTGGCACATGTGACATATGATTCCTCCTGCAGACAGTTCCTTGATGCTGCTGTTTCCCACTCTATTCTGAGCCAGCCTGTGGATGCTGGGTGACTCTGGGACTGCCTTCCCAGTGCTTTGCCTTGCACTGGTGGAGGTGGAGGCCAGTGTTGTTACTGATTTATGAGCACCCCCCATTTTCCATGGACTGATGGAGAGCTACTGGCCAGCATGGAGTTTGATCCCTGGATTTCATCCAGTGACCCAGAAGCAATTCCACATGCCACTGAGCCCAGGGCATTAAAAAATTGCTCACCTGAGGTAATTTCATCTCTTGTGTTACCTTTAATTTTATTTTTGTTGAGCTTTTCTCTTTTCATTATGCAAGCAGAAGAGCCCAGACCCAGCCAAGTGTGACACCCTGATGACAAATGTCTGTCACCCTTTGTGGGTTTAATAAATACTGATGCTATCTCTGTTGTGTGCTTTTTATGTGTTTCAGGAAAAAAGTGCCAGTTCAAACACAAGACTTAAATCTAATAAAGAGATCCCAGGATTAGTACATCAGCCCAGAGCAAAGTAAGTTCAATTTCTGTTGTTTTAATCATAATATAAATAAACACAAGCAGTGTCTGTGAAGTTCACAATTACTGCCTAGCAAAGACCAAATGATGACTCTAGTAGCCCAAAAGTCATGCTAAGTTATGTACTAGAGGTAGGATCACCTGTGTCCCAAGACCGGGAAGCATCCTCTCCTTTGCACAGCAAAGATCCAGGTCTTTAAAAAAGGTGAGATGCATCCTAATGTGCCTAACAGAGCCCTGTGCTATTTCTCAGCTTTCTATACAACTTACACAACAAACTTCTATATATTTACTATTGTTCCTAAATACAACTGGGTGAGTCCCAGGGAAGTTTTTGCTAGCTCCTGCTTTAGATTAGTAGCTGTTCTACCTGGGACTGGTCAGGTTGTTAAAATAAAGGTTGTTCTGTAGCTGCAAGTTCTTCCCTGCTTGGTTCACAGTTCTGTGCCCATGCTCTGCCTGAAGTATTTGCCTCTTGTGGAAGAGCTGGTTATTGATACTAGTAACTCATTTCTTATCTAACTCAGTGTTAAATTGTAATCACTAATTGGCTGAAAAATAACAGATTACACAGAGCCACATACCGGGTTTGTGAAGAACAAGTGATAAAGGTTTGTGATTCGGATTTTGAACACCAGTGGAAATGCTGTTCCTTGTGCCCTGCTCTCAGGGCACTTACTACTTAAACTTGCTGCCTATCAAGTGCCTTGAACACGATTTTAAGTCTGGAAACTTTCATTATTTCCTAATCAGCTGACAATGTAATTCAGCCTCTTTTCAAAGGGAAAAGCTGAGTGCTTTGGATGTAATTGCAAAGAAATTCATGGTAGGGAGGTGGAGGTAGAAGCACTCTTCAGCTTTGATAGATATATCTATCCACAATATACTTCATTATTGTGGCTCAGTCCTTCCCAGCAAGGTCAGAGATGTATTTAACATGAGGCTAATTACTCTGGAATAAAAAAGGGCTGTCCTTTTGGTGGGTCATCTTTTGGTACCCACAGCAGAGGAATTGCATGGAGCCAGGACTTCCATTTCTTCATAAAACTCTAATTTGAAAAGTCCCTACAGAAATCAGAACTGACCAAAAAGCCTATTTTTTACATTGCATTGACAGAGATAAATATTTCTGTCACAGACCTGCAAAAATAAGGAAACTTGCCAGAGAGGTGCAGTATGTAACATAAGGTTGTTGGATAAATCCTCCAGCGTTTGCCCAAGGCTCCACTGTTTGCACAACCTATCAGTGCATTTCTGTTTATAAAGTGGCTACATGTGTTTGAGTTGCTAATTGCCAAGTCAGCAAACAGCTGTTACCATGTGCAATTTTTATTTTTTTTTTAAGGTTTATTGTCTAAAAACTATGACAATTCTGACTTCAGAGCTGGGTGGCATAGGGTGGAAAAGGTCCACTCAGCTGGAGGAGCAGAAATTGATAGATCATTAGATGCATCTTGCAGTACTGTTCTGTTAGTTCTAATACAATGGATGTTACTTCTAAACAAAACATGGACTGAGTACCAAATTATCAATTCTTTTACAATATTTTGATGTCAGCTGTAAAGTAAGATTGTGCAAACCCCCTGCAGGAGGTTTTAAATATTTCCATCCAGAGCCCTGGACTCTAAAACCAGGGGATGTAGGGAGCCAGCAGTAGCCTTTGGCTGAGGGACTTTGGCTGAGGGAGAAGGGTTGGTTCTTCCTCTTTACACCCAGTCCTGGTACCTGGCACACCTTCAGGGCTTCCCCCTGCACCTTGCCCCAACTTCACTGGCACTTGCTGTCTGTTCATCACCCTACCAAATTGCAGACTCTCAGAACGGTTTGGGCTGGCACATGAAAAATCAGCTAACCCAACCTCCCTTCCATGGGCAAGGACACCTTCCACTAGACCAGATCTGTAGGATTATCCTGTGGCAATTTTCATGGATATGACTACACAATACTTTTTTATCCCTGCCTTCTTCTAGTTTTCTTACTATGGTTGGGATGAGTCACTACAGTATTCTCATTTTTGTTAAAAACTGGATTTATGATGTTGTAAAGGCTTATTTTTCAAGCACTTGCCTACTCAGAAAGGGCTCCACTGCTCTACAATCCCCCTCCAAGGCACCTGAATACGCAGGTGTGATGGGGTCACCTGTCCCAAAAAAGCATCTCTTTCCCATCTGAGGTGGAGGTGGGAACATGAGGAACAGGCAGACAGCTGGGGACGAGAACTCGCTCAATCACTGAAGGGTGAATTGTTCGTGCTCCTGAATCACCAGCTTTAGGTTTTAATGCCATTTCTGAGCCCTCCTCTTGTGAACTGAGCTTCATTTACGTCTACATAAGCAGATCTTTGTATATGTTCAGCCGATAGCAGGGAGGGCTCAATGCTGAGCTTTGTGGGGAAGTGCAGCCCATTGTCGGGCACTTAGGAAGAGCATTAACTCATTTCAGCTGAAAGGATCACCCCGAGGAAGAGGGGATGGGTGGGAATTCAGCAAGCCGAGCCAGCTTTCTGTGCTGGGAAAAATCTCCAAGAGCTGTGTGTCCTTCTGACCGTTTGGCATCATTGTTGCCACTGGCACCAGTCCCCGTCCTCCCTTTTTTGCATCTTTTTGTGTTGTACGTGGAGTCCCTGGCACTTTTCCCTGTGAGCCCGCGTGCTCATCCCTGCTGCGGGTCCAGAGGATGCTCCAGCCTCACCTTCCTGGAGAGGTGTTACTCGTGCAGGAAGGAGGTTTTCACCATCCCCTGACATAAATAAACATCCCAAATACCACCTGCCATCCACCCTCACCCTTGTCTCCTCATCCTTTCTGTGCTCTTAGCTTTCAAGTTCCCCATGGGGAAGGACCCGTGGGTCTAGTGTTTTATAAATGTAATGAAAAAAGAGTATTTTCCAGCCCTCTTTATTAATGCAAAATCTTATCACTGAGCCTCTTGGTGCTGCAGAATTAGTAGAAGTGAAGGGTCTGGAGCACCAGGAGTGGCTGAGGGAGTGGCTGGGGGGGCTCAGCCTGGAGAAAAGGAGCCTCTGGGAGGCTCTGGCTCTGCACAACTCCCTGACAGAAGGTTGTAGCAGTTGTCATTCTCTCCCATAATGAGTGGCAGGAGAAGAGGACAGAGTCTTTAACCTCACGTTGTAGGTGTCTCATTCTGTGGTGCTGAGGCTGGCAATCCTGGAAAACCACCTGTCATGACAGAGAGGGGGCTCTGTCTCTCAAAGGGAGAGGTACTGGGCTATTAACTTTCTGGAGTCAGCCTGGAAAAGGGAACAGTGTCCTCTGGATGCTTGTGGATCCCAGTTACCATCCCAAGTGTTGCATATGTACACAGAACTAAATGCAGTAATTTTTTGTGGGCAAACAAAAATTGGGGGGGGAAAAAAAGATTAAAAATTGACATTGTAGATGAAAGAGTAAAGTGATTTATTTTTCACAGTGGGTGAAAGCTTACAGCTGGGCTCCTCAACAACCCTGGGCTGTTTTATAATGGAAGAAATCTTTTTGGTATTGATACTATTGATACCTTTGCCTTCCAGCATGCACATCTCCGAAAGCCAACAAGAATTCTTCAGAATGCTTGATGAGAAGATTGAAAAGGTAAGACACAGTAATGTGAACACCCAGTCCTCCCTCAGGGGCAGACACAGCTTCCCCAGCTCCAGGGGAAGGACAGTGACCTGCCTGCTGCAGCTCTCCATGTTTTCCTTGATTGGGAGGGCTCTGGCCCAAGATTTCCCTTCCAGCTTCTTGGTTAGATAGTTCAAGTGCAAAGAAGACCAGGAAGATAAAGAGCTTGCAGGAGGTACTAAGAGAATCCTTTGTTTTGTGGGAATGTTACCGGTTTGGGATTAATGGCAGGCTAACTCAGATGTTTAGGATATACATACTGAGTAAAAGTGAAGAGCAAAGTGGGATTTTATGTCATTGCTGATTTGATTTCATCTCATCTCTGTGGGAGACAACTGGAATCTTAATGCTGGTAGTAGCTGGGATACCCCAGGAATTTCTTGCTGAATCTCCTTGAAATAGCCACTGGCTCCAAGGGATGGTGTGGCTGGAAGTATAGATAACCCTGCTCCAGGGCTGTGCCAGTGAAATAAGGGTGCTGGAGATGTTTTGAAGAAGAGAATGAATAATTCTTTGCATATCTTAGCTGTCCTAAGAGCAGCTTTTGTGTGCTTCAGAAACCTTTTAAATGACACCCTTTGCTTCTTTGTGAGACAGCAGTGAAAGAGCTCATACTGGGAGTAGCTGAGGGAGATGGGGAGGCTGATGTTCACACACCAACTTACTCTTTACACTGCCTATTTTGGATTTGTGCATCTTGTTTAAAACTTAATAATGTTTGCTTCCTCAGTAGCAGTACACTAATTTGTACTCCCAGTTTTAGACTGCTTATAAAGAAGCATTCCTTTATGGAAAGGGAAGTCAGATACTGGAAAAGGCTTCCCAGAGAGCTGGTGGATGCCCCAGGCCTGTCAGTGTTTGGGAGACATTTGGACAATGCCCTTTACAGCACACTGTAATTTCTGATCAGCCCTGAAGTGCTTAGGCAGTTAATGATTGTAGATCCCCTCCAACCGAAATATTTCTAGTCTAGTCTATTCTGATTCTATTCTATTCTATTCTATTCTATTCTATTCTATTCTATTCTATTCTATTCTATTCTATTCTATTCTATTCTCATGTTTGGTTGCAGAAGGGAAATTTTTACTTGCATGGCTCTGAACTTCTGCTGGTTTTGCCAGCACTCCTGGTCCTAGGAGTCAGAGTGCTACAGTGGGCATATCTCATATTTGTCCCAAGCAACACATTTCTTACTTTCCTCTTAAAAAATATGAAAACAAAAGAACACATAAAGGGGAATAGTAAAAGCGAGGAGTTCATAGATTCCTGAGAAGAATATTTCTGTACCCAGTATTTCACAGGGGTATGATTTTATGTAACCTAAAGCATTTAAAAGTAGAATTTCTACATATCCATAATACCAGCTATATCTCCTTTGAATAAATGCATTCACCCAATGAATATTCAGATGCTTTTCCTGGACATCATCACCTTCCATAATGTTGGGCACAGAATCTCCAGTGAAATGGACTTTCCAAAGATGTATCTTATCTGCAGACCAGACAATGCCATCAGGCTGTATTCTAATTATGAATTTTGGTTAATTTTTGTTCCCGAGGTCTGTGGCAGGGCACTAACATCCTCATTCCCCAGCTGCCACGCTGAGGTGCAGCTGACCCTGTCTCCTGTGTTTGGAGCTGTTTGGATCTGCTTTGAGATGTTCCCAGCTGATCTCCAGCGCTAACTTATCTTGGGGATAATTTATCTCCGGGATCAGGAGATTGTCGTTCAGAGGAAATCCACAGTTTATCTGTCAAAGAGACCAAGTTGCTGACAGCTGATGGGATTGGCAAGAGTTAAGGCACAGCTGAATGTGGGATTTGTATTCCCTGGGGACCTCCTGTGCCTGAGGAAATAGTCTCCATAAGAGAAGTTTTGCTGGTTTTAATTCATCTTTGCTTGCAACACATTTTTTTCCAGGTGTTGTCACAAATGCCAAAAAGATTGGAAAATCTAAGGTTTTTTGTCTGATCTGTAAAGAGCATTTTCAGTCCTTTCTTCAGGGAGATGGAGGACAGCAGTTGAACATTTAGAAGAATTGTATCATGAGCAGCTCATCAGTGGCAGCTGAAAAAGTCTGCAGAGGTGTGGGGAGTGTTGCCTGTGGCTGGTGAGGTCCCAAATGTTGTGGTGTTCCCATGGTTACTGTGGCTGTTTGATTTGTGATGGAGATGCTGCTCCTTGGGCTGTGCTGCCAAAAGTCCAGTCAGGACCAAAACACCCTCAGGTCCACTGAGATCCTGAGGGGTGCTGCGTCACCAAATCCAAGTGACTAACAGCAACTCTGACATGTGAGCATTAGGCAGGAGCAATACATGTGTGCTTGGACCTGGCACAGCCATTCCATTGACAGGGAGGGTAGCTGAAATAAAACTCCTGCAGCCAAAGTGTGAAATGTAAAGAACACGGCTGGTGTTTCGTCAGCTGCAAAAAGGAAGCATTTATGAGTCCTGGAAGTCAAAAAAAGCCTTGTTGAAACAGTCTGGAGAGTTTTTCTGAAAGTCCTGCTCCCAGTAGCACATTCCTGGCTGCCCCTACAAAGCTCTACTGCTTCCTGCAAATGTCACCCAAAGGTAAAAAACAGAATGTCATGAAGCATGGAGCTTCTGTCTACCAAAAATCATTGTCAAAACACTTTGTGTCGTTCAGAGAGGGACATCTGCTCTGTCTCTGAGTGAGTCTGTCCCTGCTTCAGGAGCTGGAGCTGAACTGGCATGTACAGAACTGCCTGTGATGGTGGTAATGCCATTCAAAAGGTTTGCTGGAAGGAAGAAATACTGGGATGAGGGCTGGGGCTGACTGAGAATGTAAAAGTCAGCCTCAAATGTAGGCTTAGATATCGGTTCTGCTGGAGTCAACCCAGTCCTTTCAGAAACACCAGAATTGGAGGTAAAAATACTCCTAAGACCTGATGAGAAGCCAGAGTTACAGGTTAGACAGGAGACTAGGAGCAGCTGGAGAGAACTGAGCAGTTGACAGCGCAAGAAGCTGTAGTTACTGTGCTACTGTAGCTGTAATTAGAATATCCTGAGCTGGCAGAGACCCACAAGGACCATGGAGTCACAGGACAGCCCCAAAAATCCTACCACATGCCTGAAAGTGTTGTCCAAACACTTTCTGACCTGTGACAGACCATGGAGAGGAGAGCAAAGGGGAAGACCAAGAACCTGTGGGCAGCATGAGACCCTGAGTGGTGGTAGAAATGTTCCCAACATCTGCAACAGCTGCAGCGAGTCTTCTTGGGGCTTCCCACTCGCTGAGGTTATTTTGAGTAGAGTCACGGGCTTTGCTTTGGGACACATAAAGCACATGTGCTCTAGAGTTCAGGGAGGGGGAAATGGAACAGAGACAGGCAGCAGGAAAGAGACAGCTCATCTCCTGTCAGCCTCATCATCATTTATTGAAAATTAGCCTGAAATCACAGAAATATATTCCAGGGGAGGATGAGCAACAGGTAATAGCAGCAATTAAGCTTGAGGAGAGGGTTCCCTGGAGTAAATTAGAACATTGTGGGTCAGGAGTACAAGTGATTTGCTTGACCTGAGAGATGAAGGCAGAAATACACAGAAATATGCATAACATATTTCTGGTTTCTCTTGGAAACCAGAGAAGGAAGTAGAGAATGATTGAACAGCCACCCTAAAGGAAACTGCTGCTGCTGGATAAATCTGCAATCTGCTGTGCCCAGCAGGGGAGAAATGGTGTCCACTGGCTGCAGCCAGGACTGGGACAATCACTGCACTCCTATGGTGGGATTAATCTAGTTTTGAACTATCAGCTCTGATTAAGAAGCCAGAAACATGTCCTGGTATCAGGCCATTTGTGTTGGTATTCAGGCAAGTAAATTAATGGCCTGGGTTCTCTCCAGTCTGATAGATCAAGGACTAATGTAGTCAGATGTTGCATTTGGATTCAGAAAGATCGGCTGCGAAACACACAGTGAAGAATTAACCTGTCTCCTAAAGTTTCTCCAGCCTTTGGTTGTTTTTCACCTCTTCCTATATCTCAAATTTATTTGGACTCTGATTTCACAGGGCTCCATGCAAATTCCATGTTACCCCCTGAAAAGAAATGGCAGCACAGGAAGGACATAGACTGGAGAGGGACTTGTCCCAAGGGCCTGGAGTACTGTTTGACAAGGGGGAATGGCTTCCCACTGCCAGAGGGCAGGGTTGGATGAGATATTGGGAAGAGATTCTTAACCTTTGAAGGTGGGGAGGCCCTGGCACAGGGTGCCCAGAGAAGTTGTGGCTGCTCCATCTCTGGAAGTGTCTAAGGCCAGCTTGGACAGGGCTTGGAGCAGCCTGGAATAGTGGAAGGTGTCCTTGCCCATGGTACGGGGTGAGACTGGGATGAGCTTTAAGGTCCCAAACCCTTCTGGGATTCCATGAATTGCATGGGGTGGCTCAGAGCAGAGTTGATCCTGGGCACAGCCCTGTGAGCTCAAGTCCATTGTATTGAAGGGGCCCTATCCCACCAGGGCTTGCATGAAATAAATAGAAATAAAAATCAAAAGCTGTAACATACGAAGTATTGACTGTGCAAAATGTACCCACTTAGTGCTTGCTAGCAAAAACATCTTGATGATGGCTGTCCTGGAAAATGGTTGGAAAAACAACTGCTGTCTCTGAATCCTACATGGAGCAGTACAATGATCTGGAGGAATCATCTCCTTGAAGAATATGTTATTACTGGAGGCTGTGGCAGAGTGTATAGGCAACTGTCTCTCTGTAGGAAAAAGGCTGAGGGGTAATGGAACAACTGACAAGCAATTCCTGGGATTATATTTGAAGATGTAACCACACAAGGGAAGCACCTCTGGCTTTGTGGTTCAAAAGGGACCATGGCAAAACGATCCTGGGCAGCTTTACCAGAGAAAACCATCACTGGTCCCATCATCATAAACTGTCTCCTCCATGGCTACAGTGGTTTGTAGAAAAATAATCACAATACAAACAAGCTCACAGACA